CAGTTCGTCCTTCGCTTAAATATAAATATATTTCTCTCTCTTTGTGTGTGTGTCCTCCCGCACGGACTGTCGCCCTCGCCCCACCCCACGAGGCACACACGTAATGTGCTCATGCATACACGCACACTCATGCAGCCCGTTGGTCCTCCTTTTTGTTTTAATTATTTTGCTTTTGAGGGGCCGCTGCCGTTCTGCTTGGCTGCATGGGTAGAGCACCGTAACTGCTTTAGTCATTTCATTTGTTTTGGTTTTGATTGCTTTCGGTGGGCGGCCTTTCTTTCTCCCTTCTTCTTCCTGGATTGGGCTGCACGGGAAGGGAGGGAGTGTGTGTGCTTGCTGGTCGGCCCACTTGCTGCTGCGCGTCCCCACTGCTCGGTGGGTGCCCCACGCTTTGGCTTCACTTCACGGGGTTTGTTTTGTGTGTTTTTTCTGTTTGTTGGAGCGTTCTGACGGAATGGCCGGGTCGTGCATTGTGATTCGCAGCGTATGGTGAGTGTGCTGTGCATCATCTTTTTCCTGTTGTATTGCTTTGCGTATGCGCAGGAGTCGCTAAGGGTGGGCCGGGAAAAGATTAGGTTTTTTTGAGGGACACCGCAAGATGCCGGCCGCGCCTCCACCTTTTCACCGTCACTCACACGCCATGGAGAAAACGGGGCGTTTAACCGTCTGTTGTTGCGTTGGGTTTGGCACGCGTGGTTGATAGTCTTGTGTTGAGGGGATTTTTTTTTTTTTTCGCTTATGGGAGAGACTGAAGGCATCGACTGTTCCCTCACCTCTTCGTTCTTGCTGCTTTCGTGCTTGACTGGATGCTGCGCCTCAGTCAGAAATGGTTCTGATGGGGGCTATTCCTGTTTCGCGGGAGTGGGAGTGGAGCACGGCCGATGCTTTAGGGTGTGCGCCTTCGCATGTTGTGCCCTCCTTTTGGCTTTTAATAACCCACAGCTGCTGGCAGTGCCGTCTGACTGTCCGTCTGTGTGGGTGAGAGGAGGAGGAGTGGCGGCCCGCATTTTTGGTGGGGCTACCCAACGCATCATCCCCTGCCGCCTCGTTTCCTCCCCAGCCAGACCCCAAAATAAGCGGCCGTTTTCTGCTGCTGCGACTGCCAGGGAACGCTTCCACCGGAGCTGCGCATGCGAGGCGTGCGCGTGTATTATTTTCGCATCCTTTTTTGGCGACCGCTGTGTGGCCCGTCGGTGAACGC